TAGTGAATTTAGGGAGGCTAATTCTAACTTGCTATCGGGAGCTCAAGATCATGCAGCCATCTTGTCGTCTCGCTCCACCGGAAGTCTGGCCAATGATGTTTACTGACAGTTACTTATATCTTGCCTTTTCACTTTATTAAGATCAGATTCTGCAAAATTACAATAATAAGGTGACTTGACTTGGACTTGACTTGACCTATTACAGGACTTGACTTGACTTGACTTGACTTGACATAACCTGTGACTTGACTTGACTTGACTTGACTTGCCCAAGAAAAAATGACTTGGGACTTACTTGAGACTTGAAGGTTAAGACTTGAGACTTACTTGAGACTTGCACATGTGTGACTTGGTCCCATCTCTGCGTGAATAAGAGTCTCTGCAGTTGAAAAGGACAGGGAGGCGGGTGATGTTTCTGAGATGGAAGAAGGCTTTTTTGGTGATGTGTTTGATATGTTTGTCAAAGGAGTGGATTTGATCAAAGATGACATCAAGGTTACGGACACAGTGGAGTCATTGAGGGAGAAGTTGTGGGTAGATTTGAGATTTGGGACTGATGATGACTTCTGATTTGTCACAGTTAAGTTTGAGGAAGTTGGTTTGAAGCCAGGATTTTATTCATTGATTAGGGTAGAGTGAATGGCAGGAGTGATGGCTTTGGTGGAGATATGGAGCTGAATGTCGTCGGGGAAGCAGTGAAACTGAAGTCCATGAAGGTGGATCATTTGACCAAGGGGGAGAATGTACAGGATGAAGATGAGGGGGCCGAGAACTGGACCTTGGGGAACACCTTGGGAGATGGGAGCAGTGGGGGATTTGCACAGAATAAGGCAGGTCATACCTACGCTATCCCAGGAAACACAAATTCACATACTGTAAACATTATTTCTGACCTCAATTAAACTAGTTTCAAAGCCAAAACCAGTGTTGTGCTAGTTACTGAAAAATAGTAACTAGTTACCGTTACTAGTTACTTCATTAAAAAGTAACTCAGTTAGTAACTCAGTTACTTAAACCAAAAAGTAATGCGTTACTGAGAAAAAGTAACTTTTTAGTTACCCCCCCCCATGCAACTGTCTTCTACAGTGGAGTCACTCACTGTCAGGAAGCTAAACGTTTTACAACTACGGTACTTGGATACAAATATGGAAAATAAGCTAAAAGCTTCCTCGGGATAACAATGGATATCACGTCACTGGATATAACGTTACTGGGACTAAAAATCTACAGAAGCGATACCGCTTAATGTAACGTTACAGCACTGTGGTGAGGCCAGCAGGTCGACAGTGACTTCAGAGATGGTGAGAGATGTGTTTCATTAAGATGCTCTAGTAAGAATTATTCGTATACCTCTATCTGACTTGACTATCTTTTATTGTCTAGGGCTAAAATGTTTTAGTGAGAGGGAACTTCAGTTTGTGAAGGAATACTGCATGCTGCGTGCCATTTTAAAACCTGGCCAAAAATAACGGAGTAACGCATCGTTTGGTAACGGTAACTGATAACGTGTTAGAGTATTAGTTACTGCCAAAACTAACGCCGTTACTGTAACGCGTTACTAATAATGCGTTACTGCCCAACACTGGCCAAATCACATTACGAAACTTCGGACAACCAGAATTTTGTAAATCCTCAGGAAGCCATCAGAGGTGTTGTGAATATGGAAACACCATTTCCCAGATTAACCCCCTTCGGTTGGTTGTGATTGGGTACAAACAAAATGTATGTTTTCACTGTGTGTCCAGGTAATTCTTTTGTCACATGATCCTTTCATTTTTTCACTAAATGTGGGGCATGCATTAGAATTGCTGATTAATTGTTATCATAATGACTGACTGAACCAAGTGTGTATTATTTGAAAGGATACTTTGCCCATTTCCAACCAGCTTTTTATCATAACAATGTGGGTAGTATGTGTGAATGAATTATGGTAAACTTTCCTCCATCTTACCAGTGCCCAGATCTTCACTGGACTTTGGGCTCTTGACACAAAGAGTAGAGAGGGGTATCGAGACAGAGTCATCCCTCTCTTTCTCTTTCTGTCTCTTTCTTTCTCTTTCTCTCAAACCCAGACCAAACTCAGACCAAGTGGTAAAACTAGGCAGTGCGATCAAATATAAGCCAAGACTCGGTTACTGTATTGCCTATTTCTTGCCTAAAATGTTTTCAGAAACTTTTAGTGCACTTTTTGGCTGAAATACAAGAATTTGTGAACAGGAAGTGGGTGCTATGCCTGGCTGGTAGCTATTTTTACATACCGTCATACCGTCCTGAAGTTTCATCAGGGTGTATTGTATGTAATGTTTTTTGTGTGCAGTGCTACTAAGCCCACCCCCCACCTTCCTTGTATCCGCACGGACAGTGCTCCAGAGATTTTTTCCCCCTCTAAAAGGACAAAGTCTGAAGTCTGGACATATTTTGGATTTTATAAGGATGCTGAGGGGAAACTAATTGAAGATAGTCACCCTGCCTGCAGAAAATGCAGAAAAAAAGTCTCTGCGAAGGGGGGTAACACTTCAAATTTGATGAGCCATCTCTGTGACCACCACCCACAACTATACAGTGAGTGTACCTGTGCCTGGTACACACTACATGACTTTTCTGCCTGTTCTGAAAGTCACTATGTCACATTACAAGATTGTGGAGTCATAAAATCATGCCGTGACTTGGCCGACAGACATGACACACTACACGATGGTCCACACCAATTATCCCTGGTTGTCTTTCACGATGTGTGTGATGTCATTGGGTTATTCTTGTCCTATTTTTAATACTTTTACTATTATTTCAGTCACTGTGTCTGTTCATGTGCCAACCAAAATGTTGTTGTATTAAAAGCGCCATCAGATGGCAGGAGCTACATTTGAAGTACTGTACACAAACATACAAGTCACTGAATCCTCCACAAGTTCCTACAAATGTTTCACAATAAAGGCCTATTTAGAAAATGGAGGGATTCTCTCAGCCAAGGTTATATGGGGCTTTTAATTTGAAACAAATTCAGGACGTGTTGAGTTTGAAATGACGACGCGATGCATTAACTTTATCAAGGCAACGGGAGCGGATAAAAAGTAAAAATATAAAAACACAGAGGGAATAATAAATAACGGTCCTTTTATAATGTAGTCTGTTTCAAATGAAGCTGGTAGCCTCTGCAGTTGTGGTGAGTAAAAGCCCCGCCACTATTTTTTAATTTTCCTACTTTATGTTTGTCTTCATTCGGGGTGTCGGTGGCTTAGTGGCAGAGCAGGCACCCCATGTACAAGGCTGTTGCCGCAGCGGCCCGGGTTCGAATCCAGCCTGTAGCCCTTTGCTGCATGTCATCCCCCCTCTCTCTCCCCCTTTCATGCTTGACTATCCTATCTATAAAGACAAAATGCCCCCCCCCCCCCAAAAAAAAAGAAAAAAAGAGTTTGTCTTCATTATGAAGAAATAACATTGTTTGCTAGCTTGATGCTAATGGCAGTACTCAGCAGGTTGACAAAGTGCCTCTGCTGTTTCCTTTTTACTCTGTGTGGTAACGTCCCCAGAGGAAATATTAAAAAGGCTGGGGTGTTGTTGCCGTACAGTTGTCTATGGCAGCAGCTAACTCTGTGTTTCTATTGGTCAAAGTGACGGCTGTGATGGGAGTAATTGTGAACGACAAAAACAAAATCAAACATGCTAGACTTTCTGTTAGACAGAAAGTACATTAAGCTCTTTATTTCATTTGTTTTTGGAGATAACTTGGTTAAATGATTTCAGTGTGTGTATAACTACTTTTTGAACATTTTGAGCACATTTCAACAATACTGCAATAATAATGATAGCCGTGATCATTTTGGTCACAGTAACCGTGATATGAAATTTTCATACCGTTACATCTCTAAGGTCAATAGAAAGATAAGAATCTGTATTTTTGCAATATTGAAAATCATACCATTGGGATTTCTAAATACCCTGGTGTACCGCAATACTGTGGCGCCATACTGTGTCCTGTAGTGTCAAAACGGAGGCTGAAAATACTGCAATCAAACAGTAAAACTTAGCAGTGCTGGTAAAATATGAACCAAGATTCTGTTACTGTGTTCTCAATATGTCAGATGTTTTATTTATTTATTTAACAGGGACAGCGCACAGCTAGTTAGCTGCACCAGAGTTAGCTATAAGCTCATTTTCATCTGTAGTCCCTGGGCAGGAAACAGAGAAGAAATTCTCTGCTAAAAGACACTATTGTATGTGTCTTGTGTTTTTAGAAACATATTTTTTTGCACTGTTTAACTGTAGCACGAGATTGTTTATTATCAGCTTGCTACCATATTGTTTTTGGATGGGCAGCTCGCATTATGTCACCCACCAGTGGGAGCATTTATTGGTCCAGTGTAGTGCAATGCATTCTGGTAGTTGAAGGTTTTCTATCTGTTTTGCTATACCCCCACGCTGGCCATAGCCCTGGCCAGGGGCATTATGTTGGTGGGTTAAATATGGGTGGTCAACGGTCAAGGGTCATTGTGACCTCATTCATCTCATTCTCACAAAGGTGACATCTCAAGAAGGCCTTGCGGGGGAATTTCCACGAATTTGGCACAAAAAAATAATTTGGTGGTTAAAGGTCAAAGGTCACTATGACTTCACTCCGAAACTCAAGAATGACATTTCACAGAATGTCTAACAGGATAGAATTATAAGGTGATGGCATTATATATCCAAAAGGTCAATGGTCAACTTCATTGTGACATCATAATGTTCTGCAAAAAACACTTTTCAGGGCATTATTCAATGTCATATCTCAGGAATAGAGGGAGAAACATTTGGTCAGATACTGAATTGGCGACACTAATCTTGTGTGCCCACCTTGACTCTGTGCTGATTGTATAGATCTTTTGTGCTGCCAGGGGGAAGATGTGTGTGAAGCATCCATGTTTTCAGAGACATGGATGTAAACTATAAGCCCAACTTGACTGGTGTGCGGGGGCATACAACCGTAAGGTGTTAATTGTAGTTTTCTATTTCATCAACAGGGAAATGGTGAATGCCTGGTTCGCTGAACGCGTCCACACCATCCAGCAATCTGCCTCCAAAGAAAATCCTCAACAGCAACGGGCTCACCAGTCCTCCTCAGACTCAGGCCCCCCCTCTGCCTCCACCATCTCCCCACCTACCCTCAACCTACTGGACAACCGTTGCCCATCCCCGGCCACAGTCCCCAGCCCGGCTCCCGGCACCCCAACTCGCAAAATCTCAGCATCCGAGTTTGACCGCCCACTCAGACCCATCGTGGTTAAAGACTCTGAAGGCTCTCTGACGTTTCTGAGCGACGCTGACCGTGAAACTGTCCCCCTACGGGGCTCAGTGATGGGTGAAGGTGGTATTGGTGGGGGAGGTAATGGAGGTGGATGCAGCGGGGCAGGTAGTGGAGGCAGGGGTGACCGCTGCGCCAGGCTGCTGGAGCTGGTGAAAGATGTGTCAAGTCATCTGGATGTGACAGCGCTCTGCCATAAGATCTTTCTCCACATCAATGAGCTGATCTCTGCAGACCGCTACTCACTGTTCCTGGTAGGAAGGAAAGGACTGTGGGTCAAACTATCAGTTTAACTGCTTAAACTGGAGATGTGATAAGCCAGAGCACAAGGAAGTGAGACATGGGCCTCTATAGTATATCTAGCTGCTGATGAAAGACATTTAAAAAACTCATTACAACCAGCAAAATGCTCACATCTCAGCTCTCACTCAAACTTATTCAGAGTCTAAAAAAATGTTTTAGCAAACAGTATCCCAGACAAATGCAAGCAGTATTCTATCACATTAGTGCCAGTCTTCCTTTGCTAGCCAGTGTTTTGCCTGTGTGCATATTTGCTATGATGTGAAAAGCATTCCGGCATTTAAAAATAGCCATGTGATTGATTTGCACCAGTCTGCATTAATAATTAGATTAAATTACAAGTGATTTATTTAATAATATGATAACTGAAGTGCCTTGGTAGGAAAGTGCATGCCGCATTACTGCAACATCCTGGGTTCAATCCCTGCTGTGGGACCTTTGTTACATGCCATACCCCTCTCTCTTGGCAAATATCATAACATCACTGTTAAAGAATGGATTCAACTGCGTAAAACACAGATCAAAGACTATTCTGTATTTTCTCACAGGAAAGGAATAACCTAAAAACACAATTATTTGCTTATTCAATTGCTTATTTACACTAGGTTTTGGCCGGTGTGAAAATTTTTATACCAGTTTAATATATTTCTGTCAGGACTTTATTTCCATTTGCAGTATTATATTTGGTGGTATGGCTCTTTTCTGGAGCCTCTCTGCCTTTCCTAGGCTTATGCAGAAAGCCTAAGGCAGAGAGAGCACACCTCTTCATCCTTCCACACGCCTATGTGAAAGGCCTAAGGCAGAGAAAGCAAGCCTCCCTGCCCTTCCATGCGCCTACATGGAAAGCCTAAGGTAGGGAGAGCAGCAAAGGCCCCCTGGGAATCAATGACAAACAGAAATGACATTGATAAGTCAGACACAGCATAAAAAGAAAGATGCTGGGGTGGAGGGGGTTGCAGAGCAGCTTGCAGAGGAAGCAGCAACAGTAGGCAGGCCAAAGAAGTTTAAATAGGGTGCCCTGGATGAGATTTGCCAATTGGTTGCATAGAAAGGAATTGTGTGATCTATCTTCTATCAATCAGATCTGCAGAATTCTGAGTAATTTATTTTTTTTGCTCATAATGTGATGGACAATATTCATTTATGATGACAATTGTTTTTTAACAAAAATAACCCTACACAATACATTAAAACCTAAAATGACCTCAAGCAGTGCTAAAAGTACTACTTAGTAGATTTTAGTGGACGCTTTGAATCAGAATTTGATTTAACCATGAATACTTCAAGAAAAAAATGTGAATGTTTGTTAGTAAAGTCAATGAACAAAATGTGGGACATATGGCCATTAAAATGGAACGTTCAAAATGGATCATAGATAACAAACATTAATTTGCCTATCTATTCACAATCATTTAACAGCAAATCTTTTTTTTGACATTTATTCTCACTACACCACTAACTTTGACTTTAATGCTAACTGAATACAACACAAGATTGTCACATGTATGCACAAGGAGGTGGAGGAGACAGCAACAACATTTCACAAGCGTTGTGTCTATATTCCTGAAGTCTGCTGAGATTCCGTATGGCCCTGTCGATAACCGATAATTACCTGCTTGTCATGGCTGACACTGATACGATAAGTGATAATTTCACTTTTTTGTATTTTAAAAACAAGTGTGTAACATGAAGTTTATGCACACCTGAGGGTAAGAAAGGCTAATGCAACAAAAACAAATAACAGTTGTGACTGTGACTCTGCATACCTGCCAATGTTAGGCTGTGAAAAAGAGGGAGATTTTCTGGGGTATTCAAAGGTGGCCCATCTTCAATGCCCCCGCCCCCTTATAACCCTACACTACACATGAACATAATAAATACAAGCATGTGAAAATAACATGATGGAGACTCCACCAAAATAAGTGCCATACCAAACCAACTAGGGAGGAGTGTAAGTGGCTGTAAAAGTTATGCCAGTTCCTTTTTCCACCACAGACAGGGAAGTTCCCAAAGCTTGCTGCTGTATTTCTCCACTACACCTTAATGAAGGGTGCATCAATCCAAACCGGTCTCACTCCAAAGTTGTTGAATACCGGCGCTTGGGCAGTGACTTACGGTGTCAGACACCGACAAAAAAGCTGTCCTTTCAGCATGATACCAACCATCGCCATTACAGAAAAACGACGACGGCCGTGTCAGGGCGGAACACATTGGGACAACGAAAGTTAAGGTGGTGAAAGTCCGAGTAGGGCGATGGGATGGGTGGTGGATAGGTCCAACAACCACTGACTTTCACCCGGGAGGTTGCTGTTTGCTTCCTGTGTGAATGTAAAGCTAAACTCTATTCTTTTTTCCTAAACCCAACCATGGGCTTTTCTTGCCTAAACCCAACAATGTGTGTGTGTTGGCTAAATGTGAACATGTGTGCTTGTTGCAGAAGGGAAAAAAACTTCAATTCAAGGTGTTGTACCGACGTAGTGTGTTTTATTTTGAAAGAGACTGTAAGCAAACTGTATATTTCCTGTGAAAATGGAAGTATATTTTGAAAACAGACAATGCATGTAACATGGGATTCCAGAATGTCCAAAACCAGTGCACCCGCGGTACCTTGCACATCATATCTGGATGTGGGAAGTCCATGACCAAATGCAGATATGGTACAAGGTTGGAGTGAGAATGTGTTGTTCAATCAGATGTGAAGGTGGCAAAAAATTGAGTTACACTCAGTGACAGAGTGGGAGAGGGTAGGGTCCAGTTTGCGAAAGGCCCTGGGCTCTAGTTTCCCGGTGCAGCGCAGGTGGCGCAGGGTGGCGAACCCCACACAGAGCTAGTTTCGAACAGCGCAACCCGAGGCGCTCTCAGTTTGGTAGTTTGGCAGACCGAGGTGCGCTGCGATGGGTGTGGTGGCGCAGCAGGGGGAGGTATAGACAGATCCAGCTTGGCGCAGTGACAGTTTCGTGCCAAAAGGCTTCGCCGAAGGTGCGCTAAAAGCTCGCCATCTGAAACCAGGTCTGCTGTCAGCGCAGGGGGAGCGCAGCCGGTGTAAGCCGAAGTTTGGCTGACCAGCAGACAGTGCGCACACGTCACCAAAACCTCACAGGCAGGTTTCCAGAATATCAGGCACATTAACGATGCAATAAGTACCCACAAAACCACTATTCAATGCAACTATCTGCAATCAGCACATAAATGTATCTTCTATATCGACTGTCTCGTCACATCTGATGTCAGATCAAAGGGGATTGGCACCGTTTGGCACGTTTGGCACGCGTAATGGAAACCCAACCTGATTTGATTAACACAGCTGCAAACTAAGGAGTTCACATCCCTCTCAGCCAACCACAAACAGCCACAGCATCAGATAGGGAGTACATATTCAGCATCTGTCATCTTAGAAAAGTCAAAAGAAAAGAAGTTCGCAGTTCCGTAAATTCGGACACTGCGAGCAGACCTCCCGGACCAAAACATAAGTTTCCTCCTGGGAGGAGTTTGGCCGTCTGACGCTACTGCTCTCTTCTGCCATGGCGAATTGAGTAAACTCTCATTACACCTTCGCGTGGCCCATTTAAGGGCGAGGAGAGGGGCTCATTTGATTGGTGTGATGTGTGTAAAACCCACTCCACGCCTTCTCTCCTCCCTCTTTCCGACTTGCGCCGGTAGGAGGGATGGAGGTGGGAAAGAGGAGTAGCTGCGCCAGGGCGCACGGTGTGCCAAACTTACAAAATCTGCCTGGCCACACCCAGTTGGCGAAGCGCAAGTGCGCTGCGCCCCTGCTGCGCCCGGTCTGCGAAACTAGAGCCTCCTATGCCAAATTTCAAGGTCATGCAGACTTTACAGGGACTAACTGAATTTACAACAAACTGTATATTAGAGTCTCATATGGGGTTCTTTTCTGATATGTGGCTTTCAATTTCTTTGCTGAGTCAGACAACCACAAACAGCAAGATTTAACTTAAGCTAAAACGCCTGATGGAGCTGAGGAGAGTTGCAGTGTAGAGTGATAATTGTCTGTGGACCAGTCACAGTGAGCTATCCTTTTTACATTACACACAGTCATTTAAACCATTGTTAATGAAAAAAATACATTGATCAGTGCAGCTTTAATTTACTCTTAATTACTTTTTGTTGTCTTATTTCTAGATGATCGAAAACAGATCCTCCAGTTCTATCTTCATTAGATTTGTTGATGTTAAACTTTTTCTCATAATGAGATTTCCACTTCTTTGCTGTGTTTGTGGTTAAGGCCAACAATCAGGGGCACAAACTTCTTTGTTTATGTTTGAAATCAGTCATGTGACCACATTCTGCTGTGTGTTTGTGTGTGTTTGGTCCCAGGTGGGCGAGGACAGCTCCAACAGGAAGTTCTTGGTCAGCCGCCTGTTTGACGTGGCGGAGGGATCCACGCTGGAGGAGGCCTCCAGTAGTTGCATCCGGCTGGAGTGGAACAAGGGCATTGTGGGACATGTAGCTGCCACAGGACAGCCACTCAATATCAAGAATGCTTATGAGGTAAAGATTTTACATGGTCACAGTTAGGGCTGCACGATATTGGAAAAAACTTACATTGCAATTTTTTGTTTTTTGTTTTTTTTGCAGTATAGTGCAGTATTAAAAAATACAAGAATTTTCATCAGATGATTTAAACTAAGAAAATTTAAAAAATAGTGGCGGGGTTTTTACTCACCACAACTGCAGAGGCTACCAGCTTCATTTGAAACAGACTACATTATAAACGGGCCGTTATTTATTAATCCCTCTGTATCTTTATATTTTTACTTTTTATCCGCTCCCGTTGCCTTGATAAGGTTGCATCGCGCCGTCATTTCAAACTCAACACTTCCTGAATTTGTTTCAAATTAAAAGCCCCTTATAACCTTGGCTGAGAGAATCCCTCCATTTTCTAAATAGGCCTTTATTGTGAAACATTTGTAGGAACTTGTTGTGGAGGATTCGGTGTATGTTTGCATACGGTACTTCAAATGTAGCTCCTGCCATCTGATGGTGCTTTTTACATTACTACAACAACATTTCAGCTGGCACATGAACAGACACAGTGACTGAAATAATAGTAAAAGTATTAAAAATAGGACAAGAATAACCCAATGACATCACACACGTCATGAAAGACAGCCGGGGATGATTGGTGTGTACTATCGTGTAGTGTGCCATGTCTGTCGGCCAAGTCACGGCACGATTTTATGACTCCACAATCGTGTAATGTGACATAGTGACTTTCAGAACAGGCAGAAAAGTCATGTAGTGTGTACCAGGCATAAATCCTCCTTTACCGTTTCTCCCTCTTGCATGTCGCTAATTTTCAATGTGTGACTGCAGCGTGTGCATGAGAGGGGGAGGGGCTGCTGAGTGCTGTGAGAGGTGAGCGGAGCGGAGCAAAGAGCTCTCTTCAGAGCTGATTTTCTGAAGCAAAACAAAAGTTTACATGTTTTAAAAAAGAGAAAACATCGCATGTCCTGCGATGTGACTGTCGCACATGCGCACATCGCAATGGCAATGTGGCAATGATATATCGTGCAGCCCTAGTCACACACACACACACACACACACACACACACACACGTATTTTACCCCTGACTGTTTCAGTGTAGTGACCCTATGTGTGATCGGGTTTCACACAATATCACTTTCCATGTTCAATCAATGATCAAACAAACCTGGTTCGCAACCTGGCATTTTCATGTTTTTTTGTTTATGTATATTTGAGGCATATTTGAGGTTTAGAGGTGTTTGTAGGTGTGTTTCTTTACCCTTGACAGAGCCAGGATAGCTAAACCCCCCTTCAATCAATCAATCAATCAATCAATCAATCAATCAATCAATCAATCANAGAAGAGCTGGCATGTGACTTACATAAAAGAGGAGCCAACAAGCCTCGAAAGCGCTAAAATGCACCGACTGCAAAATATCCTAGTCTTCCAAGGGCACCTATGCATTGGTGTGTGTGTGTGTGTCTGTGTGTGAGTGAGTGATTGTGCGTGCAATCCTGAAGGCACTCTGCATGGTTTATTTCTGTGTGCTATGTAGGTCATGAGTAAATAGTTAACTGAGTTACATGAGAACCAGATATCCAAGACTCAACAGGTGCTCAGCGCAGCATGTCAGATGAAGACACTGACAAAAACCAACTGCTATTATCCTTGGAGTGCTTTCTTGAAGAGAGCAGAGACCAAAAGTAGTCTGTTTTCTCTCATAGTGTCGCTTTAAGTTTGCAGAAAAGGTATGCTTGATTTATGAATTTGAATGAAAAGAACCTCATGCTTCCTTTTATTTATTAATTAAAAAAATAAAGTTTTAGAGAGCTCTCCAGTTACTCAAAGAACACAAATATTTGTACTAATGTGGCACATTTGTGTCACTGGATCCAGAGCAGTTACCCCCCAAAAGAAACCTCCCTTTTCAGAACAAACTTAAGAACGCGAGGGTTCAATCCCCTCTGTGTTCCCCCGTCCCTCCGCCCTCTCTCCCCACTGCCCCAGTTCCGGAGGCCCAGCATGACCCAGTTTGGGCCGGCGAGAGAGGCGCTAGGGAGCAGGAGAGAGGCTGGAATGTTTTGAAGGCTGAGACATTCCTCATTGTTCATTCACACAGGCCTTATGTAACACAGACGGATCACGTGACGCAGCTCTGCGGCAGCCGTGGGAAGCCGAAGCATTATCTCCGCCACAGTGGCTTCCTCGCTCTAATCTGATTATGCAAGCCCAGTGCTTACACAACAACACACAGACAGACAGACAGATGGAAAGACAGGGGGAACGACGGACGGTGCTACAAATCAACAGACATGAAAAGACAGATGGACAGAAAGAGGAGCTGGAGTGGCTCAAGTTAAAGACAACAGGGAAAGAGTTACCATTTACATCACCTGGTGCATGAGACAGTCCAAAGTCAGAAAATGAAGAATATTTTATGTCTACTAAGTGATTGACTGGCATGATTAGCAGCTGGCCCGGCCTTTGAGCCAGATGATGCAGTGTTAGATATGAGGGGGAGGAGAGCTGCCTTGGTAATGCACAGAACATGTGCAGCTATAGTGGCACACTGACCCACATACTGCAGATCCTCTGGTAATGAAAACCATCCTTGGCACATTGTGTTCTTTTCACCGATTAAACTGTGGATCATATACAGATGCTCTGCAGGATAAGCTAAGCCTTTCAACAGATAATCGTCTATGAGCTTAAAACACTGCAGGTCACTTACAGTAAGTGTAGGCTAATGGGTAAGTGTGTCATTTGTATCATTTTACGAAAACATTCAGACATGTTGTTGCAGTTGACTTGTCCAGACAGTGGACAAAAGGATGTCCCTTAAGTCTCCACACGGTGAGAGCTTTGAGGGTTAACTGACCTGGATGGTGGTGTTTCCACCTTCCAGCAAGGCAATAGCCAGGAGGATGCTCTCTTGGAAAACTCGGTCACTGGTGGTGTTCATGATGAGGTCGATGACCAGGTCAGAGGCTCCCTCTTTGTCCAGGTGACACTGTACCTCCGCCAGGGTCATTTCCCCACGACTCAGGCCCCCAGGACCCCCTAATGCTGCCGGAGGGAGACAGTTTGACAGGCCAGATCAGAATCCTCAGGTATATGGCAGATTATGTATCAAATATAATCAAATATAGTTTAAAAGCAAAACTCACTGCATGTAAACAGGAGCTAACATTGTGATTACAGATTTTAATTTGCAGGTATTAAACAAAGAAAATAGCCAACATTTCTATATCATAATCTTGACAGGATGTTTAATGAGTTACCAACACGCTACACTGAAATAATAATAATAATAATTTTGGTCTTAATTTGGTAATACAGTAGTTGCTAGCATCTTACTTCACAATATCTGCAATGGCAGAGACCTGATACGTTTTGTATGCATCTACATGTTTTCTCATTTTAGCCTGCCCCTTGAACTTAAGGCGTTTCTGTTTTCATTTTATGAAAAATAACTATAATAACAACCAGAGGTGGGGCCAAGTCACTGTTTTGCAAGCCATATGTAGGTAGTCGAGCCTTTTCGCTCAAATCCCAAGTCAAGACTGGCAAGTCCCAAGTCCTAAAGTTTGCAATTCAAGTTCTAAACAAGTCACATTATGCTTTTCAGCAAACGCAATGCCATTTTAACAACAGAGTAATACTGTATTAAATTTACAAAAATGATGAATGCTTTTTAAATTCTGTATTTATTTTTTACCTGTACATTTTGCATACTGCAATTTCTTGACCACTGAATAGTTTTTGTATGTTAACAAAATGATCTTTGGTATCATTTTTCCAAAAATTTGACTGGATGCTATTGGATTGGTTCAAACAAAGTGAATCTGGGGAATGAAGTGTTGACTTGATGGGAATAAATAATGTTAACTTTTGTTGATTTAGGAAATTAAATTGATTTGTGGCAAAGTTTTTATATAACATACTTTTAAATCTTTGGTCTAGGGGAAAGTATCACGTATTGTCACGTACTGTCAAATCAAAGTGAAGTCATGAGTCATCGGTGTTAAAGTCCGAGTGAAGTTGCAAGTCTTGTGATTTTGTCAAGTTGAGTCTAGAGTCATCAAATTTGTGACTTAAGTCCAAGTCATGTCACTCCAGTCCACACCTCTGATAACAAACATAATTTCTCAAACTTATATTTTAGTTTATTTAGTCTCTTCATTTATATTAAAGCTTGATATTGAGACATGATGCAATATTGCACACAGAAAATTAAAGGATTAAAAAGATGTGATTTCTCTGATCCTGTGAGGTAAGACATTTATTGATCTAGGTTACCATAAAGGACAGTTTACTGGGTCATACAATGTTCAAAATAATTTACATAAACAGACCACCACTTAGATTTCATACTGCTGTGATGCTAACCCTGTTCTAACCAGTGTAACTGTACAGTTGTGTAATTCACTGTACATGACTTCGCCTGCACATTTCCCCCCTGAGGCCTCGGCTTCAGGGTACATATGGAATTCTCTGCCTGGCTCTTGTTTCTGCAACAGGTGCAAAGGCTGTTTTCAAGGGAAGTAGCAGCTTGTCACCTAGCAACAGTGAAAAGTGGAGCACAGCGGGGAGGGGTATACTTCCTGTAGTTTGGAAGTTTGCCAACATCTTGGTGTACATGGGAGAGATGGTGAACCGGGAGCCTGGGTAATTTTTTTTCATGTCTGTGTCTTTGAGTTCAGTTAAAAATACAACATTAATGTCTGGTTCATTCATAACAACTGTCTCTAACACATGTGAAGATACTGCCGTTCATGCCACAGCAGACAAGAAACCATTCTGGTCACTAGGTCAACACAGGAGCACTGAATTGATATGAAAGACACTCACAGCTCATACCACTGGCATCAACATGTCCTCCAAATCTTTTTTTTTTTAAGATTTTTTTTGGGCATTTTTAAGCCTTTAATCAATAGGACAGACAGGTGTGAAAGGGTGAGAGAGAGAGAGAGAGAGAGAGAGAGGGACTGACATGCAGCAAAGGGCCACAGGCTGGAGTTG